TGCATGATGCCTCTCATAATAGGGGACGTCACGTGCAAATTCATTTCAGTCGAATTTTATCTTTCATAGATGACGACACGCTCGCCATGCTCCTGAAAGCAATGCTTACACAGCAAGCCAGGTCATCATCTAATCTAATCCAGCATTTCTCACGTTTAAAGTGATGCGTCTCGGACTATCGTCGCTACATTGAAAAACATTTCGCGGTACTTCCCTCGCTTATCTTCCCCGTTGTTGTGATGTTACGTAACGTTGTGCCGTTTCTCTCGCAAAGCTGTGAGCCGTGGCGTTGGACGTGAGATATCATTTCGAAACATAATGATGTGCCCCATATTGTCTGACAAAGCTCACATTCCCGTTGTAGAGATAATGGATACGGAACAATGCGTACTATAATAAAATAAAAATAATAATAATAATAATAATAATAATAATAATAATATAATAATGAATATAATAAATAATATTAATAATATAAATATATAACTACTTAAACAACCAATAATATTTAGTATGCGCTACATAACATCGCCATCGATCGGTCTGTTCGTTTATTAGCGGGGACATCTATGTATCGCAGCAGTTTATTGTATGCTTGTTTTGCCAAACACGAGAGCTGCGGTGCTATGCCACAGACATAAAAGCCTATCAGGGGAATGCGCTGCAGTCGTGTTGTAGATTTTCCGCCGTCGCCGCTGTCCGTGCATGCGAGCTCCGTGCAGAGATGCCATGTAAACGTATTAAATGGACGCCATAAAAGCATGCACTGAATCACAGCGTGGATTCTCTGATGCGGATTGTACCTGCTTATCTGAATGGAGTTATCGCAGTGCTGCTATGATCATTGCGTGCTATATTTAGCACGCAGTAGTGTGTGTATTATGGTACACCCACCTATACGCCGTTTTCGCATTTGATTGTCGTTTGATTGGTGGTAAACTGATTGCAACATGCAATAATTGAACAGCAGTAATTGCTTTTTACAACGCTGAAATGATATATCTTGAATGAATATTGACACATTGTGGCATTTCATCTATGGGAGCCGCATATATTCGCTCGCCTCACTCTACACATCACGCTGCGGCGCGCCACGCCACGCACGCACGCCACACACCACGCACGCACGCCACGCACACACACACACAACACACACACACACGCACACACGCACACACACACCCCTCACACACACGCACACGCACACACACGCCCACACGTACACACACACCGCTGCACGCACACACACACACACACACACCACACACACACACAGCACACACACAGCACACTTACACGCTTACACACTTACACACTTTACACACACTTACACACACACACACACACACACAACACACACACACAGCACACACACACCACAAACACACAAAATACTACACACTCTTACACACACACACACACACCACACACACACACACACACACACACCACACACACACACACACACACACACACACAACACACCGACGCAGCCACACGCCTCACGACGCACGCACGCACGCACACACACACACACACACACACACACACACACACACACAACACCAATATATCATATATATATATATATTTAATCCTCGTCTTGCCTTCGTTGACAGAAGTATGCCCATCTCGCCAGCGTTCGCTGATCCGAATTACGCTAGCCCATAGAGGCAATCCAAGCCATGGCGACCAATTGACATAGATGAGCGGCGAATCCCGGTGCTGCGCCTACTGCGCAGACGACTTCCAGCAGAGGATGAGTCCCGATGCCGCGCCGTCGTCGAGCGTGAGGTAGCGCTCAGTGCATGCGAAAGCTCTCCTACGACATCGAGAGATTAGAGAGAATGGGGACTCAGTCCGGCTGACAACTCCGACCACGATATTAGCCTCGGAGATCTGAGATCGAAGACGAGGGCAGAAACCTGCACGACCAGGCGGAGGACGGCGGGCCGACGGTGACTGGCACCATCGGTGAAGATCGTGAAAACGATACAGTTAGGAAGAACGCGAATGGATGCTCGCCATCTGCTGGTTGTACGCGGCGCTTGTTGATGCTTACCGCTTAAAATCGACGTAATCCGTAATGCTTACTATAATCGTTCAACATCGTGTCACCGGTGGGAGGGTGGACTGCTCTAGCAGGGGCAAAAGCGGCACAGTCAATCACGAATTTTTAGAGGGAATATAAAATGCTAAAATAAATTGCATGAGTTAAAATCACATTTAAATACGTGAGTTCAGCTTGTGTCATCGTCATCCCTCGAGTGCCTCACACCCACCCCACCTCACTATGCACGCTTGCCCTGGACCTTTGCTTTATATATTACCTCGACATTGTTCACTTGAATAATTGTAATTTTTCTCCCTTCCCCAACTATGGAAGGTACCTCAGGCTGACGGCCCTGTCATATATATTAATCTAATCGTTATTCCTGCCAAAATCTGTGTCAAATTCGCTCTCCTATCATAATCGTGCGTCAGTATAGTATCCTATAATATCGTATCTAGGGCCGTAGCCTGCAGGGCAGGGGGCGGGGGGCAACAGGAGAAAAGGGAAAATTTTGTTCCCTAGATATTAGAGCCAACATAAAAAAAAAGTTCTCACTAAAGAGAGAATTTGTCATAGTTCAGAATGAACCCCCCCCCACTGTACATCGTACTCAAAAGTGACCTCACATGTCCATCTCCTGCCGCATCTACATTTTTTCAAGAAAATTTCTGTGCGGAGGACCCCCACACCCGCACCCCCTGTCTCTCACCCCCTCTTTTGAAATCCTGGATCGCCACTTGCCCCCACTAGAAATTTGCCTCAGCCTACGTGGCCCTGCGTATCACATTCGCATCATATCGTATCATGTTCACAATATTTTCTTAAAACCCATTCAAATAAAATTATATTAATATGATTTAGATTTTCCAAACTAATATAATTCCCCGAACCGAAAGTAGGCAACAAACTCACGGAATTCCATTGAAGTACGGATGAACCCTAACCTCCTCCATCCGCTCCTGCCTTCCAGCTTCTGAAATTTTGGTCACGCGGCAAGATAGGACAATTCAGGTCGCAGCAGCAGGGCCCGGACTCCTTCCTGGAAAAGTTCTTGCAATGGCGCCGTCCGGACCTAAACCAATGGCCCGAGGACGATGAGAACCCGCTCCGCGAACACCACCGCAAGCCAGCGTGGCGCACCAAACATCATGCGAACAAGCGTTCGAATCGCGCGCGACCGTGAGTCAATGTTATTATACTAGCATGTACTAGATGTAACTAGCTGTACGTCCTGTGTTGTGTTGGTTTGCTGTTGTGTTTGGTTTATGTTTGTAGTTATGTTATGTTTATATATGTATATTATGTTATGCTTTATGTTATGTTATTGTTACTGTTATTTTATGTTATGATGCGTTATGTTATGTTAATGCTTATGTTTATGTTATGTTATGTTATGTTATGTTATTATATTTATGTTATGTTGTTTTTATGTTATGTTATGTTTATGTATTATGTTATGTTATGTTATGTATATGTATATGTATGTTCATGCTTATGTTATGTTATGCTTTATGTTATGTTATGTTAGTGTTATGTTATAGTTAGTGCGCGCACACACGCTCACACACAGGTTTCGATATGTGACTGCGAAACTGTGCGCATTTATAAAGGCCGTCGCACACCTACCCAAAAATCGGTCCGATTAAAAAATCTCTTCATCGTTTGTAAAATCGGCTCATCGCGACGCCTTCCGATAAACACCCGCACACCTATGATAAAATTGATTATTTAAATCTCCCTCAATTTCGTTCGTCCACGCTTTGTCTATGATAGGCGCCATTTTGAATGTCATGTGACACGGGCACGTTCAGCTATTGGCTGTTCAATATTTATCGTAAAGGATTTTTCTGAGTTCATGCGCACACCACAAAATCTTGTCGGATTAAACAAAATCGCTTCAAAATAATCGGTTCAAAATCAAACATGTTTGATTTGGAACGATCACCCGATAAAAATAATCGTAAGTAAAATCGCCTACAAATGAACGCGCACACCTACCCGATATCGGCTGATTTTTATCGGGCCGATTAAATCGCGTGAAAAATCGGCTGGTGTGCGACGGCCTTAACTTGAGCAGCTATCGGAGCGTGCATGGTGGAGTTTGGCCTATCACTGCATGCATATTCGTTCCGAAGTGGCTGCGCAATTTCCCTACGCGGGTGGGTGCACGTGCGCGTTATCCCCCGAGGTTACCCTCGCGCATTGTATTCGCCAAGACGGAATTTACCGAGCTATACAGCGACGGAAGCAGTAGAGAATAGCATGCGCACACGAAATCTCGGCAGCATATAGGCGCAGCGGCAGCGTCTTCGTTAATATTCTTCCGTAATTAGTGAGTCTTGCGCTCATCGTGAGTATTGAGTGCACGCACCGCGGCAGCGTGGATACATAAGCACCATGCACGAGCGTGGCAGATTACTGCCGGCGCTCGGCCCAATCTCCATCACGCGAGCCTGACCGCCCACGTATAGCGAGCGTAAACAGTCTAAACACACGTAAATACTAGAGGAGTAGAGATTGATTTCTGAAAGTTTTCTGCGAAGCTTCGGCGATATGGCGATGCGCGCGCGCGTCACACGACCGAGATCCCGCGCGCCTTATATGGACATATTACGTCATCCGCCGCCGCAAAAGCATTCGCGCCGTACTTCGCGCGATGCGGATTGATGTCATCGTGCTAAAAATAATCAGGCAGTTTTAGCGAATCGGCTGAGACCGCGTATTGCGCAATTCGTTTATATCATTTGAGTGTTATGCGATATGTAGCCACAGTAGGAGGTAAAGTATTTCGCATATTATATATATTATTATAACAACACAACACAACACAACACAACACAACACAACACAACACAACACAACACAACACAACACAACACAACACAACACAACACAACAACGTACAGCTAGTACATCTAGTACATCTAGTATAATAACATTGACTCACGGTCGCGCGGCGATTCGAGCTTGTTCCATGATGTTGGTGGCGCCACCTGGCTTCGGTGGTGTTCGCGGAGCCGGGTTCTCATCGTCCTCGCCATTGTTTAGGTCCGGACCCGCCATTGCAAACTTTTCCAGGAAGGAGTCCGGCCGCTGCTGCGACTGATTGTCCTTCTTGCCGCGTGACCAAAATTTCAGAAGCTGGAAGCAGGAGCGGATGGAGGAGGTTAGGGTTAATCGTACTTCAATGGAATGTCCGTGAGTTTGTTGCCTATTTCGGTTCGGGGATTATATTAGTTGGAAATCTAATCTTATAAATATATTTTATTTGATGGGTTTTAAGGAAATATTGTGACATGTTACGATATGATGCGATGTGATACCAGGGCCGTAGGCTGAGCAAATTTCTAGTGGGGGCAGTGGCGAATCCAGGATTTCAAAGAGGGGGTGAGAGACAGGTGCGGGTGTGGGGGTCCTCCCACAGAAATTTTTTGAAAATGTAGATCGCAGGAGATGGAATGTGAGGCACTTTTGAGTACATGTACAGCGTTCATTCTGACTATGACAATTCTCTTTTAGTAGAACTTTTTTGTTGTTGCTCTAAAATCTAGGGAACAAAATTTTCCCTTTTCTCCTTTGCCCCCCCCCTCCCTGCAGGCTACGGCCCTAGATACGATATTATAGGATACTATATGACACGATATGATAGGAGACGATTTGACACAATTTGGCAGGATACGATTAGATAATATATATGATCAGGGCCGTAGCCTGAGTACCTTCATAGTTGGGAGGGAGAAAATTACATAATTCAAGTGAACAATGTCGAGGTAATATAAAGCAAAGGTCCCAGTCAACGTGCATAGTGAGGTGGGGTGGGTGTGAGGCGACTCGAAGGGATCACGAATGACACCAAGCTGACTCACGTATTTAAATGTGATTTTAACTCATCATTTTATTTTATATTTTATTTCCCTCAAAAATTTAGTGAATTGACTGTCCCTTTTGCCCCTCTAGAGGCCGTCACCCTCCACCTGGTGACACGATGTTGAACGATTAAGTAACATTACGGATTACCGATTTTAACGGTAACATCACAAGCGCCGCGTTTCACCAGAATGGCGAGCATCCATCGCTTCTTCCTAACCTGTATCGTTTTCACGATCTTCACCATGGTGCCACCGTCGCCCGCCGCCTCCGCCTGGTCGTGCATGGCTGCCTCGTCTTCGATCTTCAAGATCTCCGAGCTAATATCGTTGTCGGAGTTGTCAGCCGGACTGAGTCCGCCATTCTCTCTAATCTCTTCGATGTCGTAAGAGAGCTTTCGCATGCTGAGCCTACTCACGCTCGGACCGGCCGGCATCGGACTCAGTCTCTGCTGAAGTCCGTTCGCAGTCAGGCCAGCACCGGGATTCGCCGGCTCTTCTATGTCAATGGTCGCCATCTTAGATTGCTTCTATGCTAGCGTAATTCGGTCAGCGAACGCTGGCGAGATGGCATACTTCTGCAACAAGGCAAGACGAGGATTAATATATATATATATATATATATATATATATATATATGTGTGTGTGTGTGTGTGTGTGTGTGTGTGTGTGTGTGTGCCGTGCGTGCGTGCGTGCGTGCGTGCGGTGCGTACGTGGCGCGGCGCGCGCGGTGTGGTGTGTGTGTGTGTGTGTGTGTGTGTGTGTGTGTGTGTGGTGTGTGCTGTGTGTGGTTGTGATGTGTGTGTGTGTGGTGTGTGTTGTGTGGTGTGTGTGTGTGTGTGTGTGTGTGTGTGTGTGTGTGTGTGTGTAAGTGTGTGGTTTGTAATTGTGTGTGTGTGTGTGTGTGTGTGTTTGTTGTGTGTGTGCGAGTGGGGGTGCGTATGTGTGTAAGTGTGTAAGTGCGTGAGGGTGTGTATGTGTGTGGTGTGTGGTGTGTGGTGTGTGTGTGTGTGTGTGTGTGGTGTGTGTGTGTGTGCGTGTGTGTGTGTACGTGTGCGTTGTGTGCGTGTGCGTGTGTGTGTGAGGGTGTGTGTGTGTGCGTGTGTTGCGTGTGTGCGTGTGTGTGTGTGTGTGTGTGTGTGTGTGTGTGCGTGCGTGCGTGCGTGTGTGCGTGCGTGCGTGCGTGCGCGCGCGCGTGTGTGTAGAGTGAGCGAGCGAATATATGCGCTCCCATAGATGAAATGCAATGTGTCAATATTTCATTTCAAGATATATCATTTTCACGTTGCAATTAATGCTGTTCAATAATTGCATGTTCAATCAGTTTACCACAATCAATGCGACAATCAAATCGAACGGCGTATGTGGGTGTACATACACACACTAACTGCGTGTAAATATACACGCAATGATCATACAGCACTGATAACTCATTCAAGATAAGCAGGTACATCGCATCAGAGAATCCACCTGTGATTCAGTGATGCTTTATGGCGTCATTTAATACGTTTACATGGCATCTCTCACGGGAGCTCGCATGCACGGACAGCGGCGACGGGGAAAAATCTACACACGACTGCA